CACTAACATTTAACACTATATAACACTAATCATTTGATGTTGCATTCAACTAGGCCAGTCTGTAATCTCACCCTCTTAGATTATTTGATTGAGCAGGCAAAGCACTTAACTTGCATATAATGTAAACATTCCTGCCAGTTTTGCTACGATAGAACCTTGCTTTAATTTAAAAAAAAACATACTGCAAAAATAAGCTATTGCCATTAATCTGCACCCGGTCCAGCTGGAGATTCATAGCAGGCCTTCCAAAGAAAGAACAACTCTGAAAGTAGTTGGAATGTGAAGAGAGGCAGGACATGCAGGATTAATACATACGTCTCCAGCTGTTTGTAGGCATGGAAGAAAGTGATATGACAGTTTGTTTTTATTACATGTGTAGTTTCTTTGTGTTTGAAGGGAGAACAGTGTACCCGTATACTGTATCCTTGGGAAGGCAGAGCAGTTATCTGAAGACTGTTGTGATGGTAGCAGCAGCTGCTGTTGTGATCACATTTCCTTTGCTGAGCTCTGTTTTTATTGTGATTCCCCCCCCTTTCCTCTCCTTTTTTCACCGTTCCCACTTAATTTCACTTAAGGTAGAAACATTTTTTAAAAACTGGGCTTCATCTCTCCAGTACTTCAACCTCGTGCCCTCTTTTCTTGTCAGTAGTAACCAGAGAGTAGGGATTTTAATAGCAAGTACTGTATGTGTGAGGAAGCGAAAACTGCCGTGTCCAAATGTAGAAGCAGCAGTAGCACACAGAGAACTGAAAAGGTGCTTTACTGACACAGGTGATAAAAGAACATTGAAGACTGCATTTCTGTTTGATATGTTTAAACCAGGGGTGGGCAACCTGTGGCTGTCCGAAGATCATATGGCCAGCATAAGCAGTGGGGAGGGATCTGGAGGGTCACAGGTATTTTACTCTTGATTTACATGAACGTTGGGAGAGAAGAAAAAGCTCTTAAATATTAAATCTGCTTTAGAGGGAAGGAGGGCTGGGTTGATTATTTATACCATTTTAAAATCATGCTTTTCATACAAGAGTCTCAAGGTGGTTTACAGAGAGTCCCCTCTCTCTGCCCTTCTTATCCTTTTAATAACTAAGGGTGGTGGGCTAGATTGAGTAACCAGTCCAGATTTACAGTTGAGTGTGGATTTGATCCTTGACCTGAAGAACATTACAAAGAAGGCATACTGGATGAGGTGGATGTCATATCTAGTCCATCATCTTTTGCCCACCACAGCCAACCTGAGAACTTTGGGAAACCCACAGGCAAAAAACCAAATTCTCTGTTGTGCTCTGTTGCTTTTAAATGTATTTTTAACTTATTTACTGTTTTTAATATACTTGTTTAAATCTTCTAATATTTGTATACTTACTGTTTTTAGATTTTTCAATACTGTCCTTTTAATGATGTAAGCTGCCTTTAAAGAGAAAGGCAGGGTAAAATGTTTCAAATTAATTAATTAAATAAACTCTTGCTCATCTTCCCCTGCAACTGACTCTGCTAACGAAGGCAATACATACCATCATGATTAATGGCCATTGACTGTTTTACCCTCTATAGATCTGTATAATCCATATTTCTGTGCATGCCTTGTTTTCCTCATAATCATATGTGCAGTAGTTATAATTATAATCAGCACTTTGTTACAGTTTCAGACAATTATACAGTGAATAATTGTCAAGATAGCCCAGAACAGTTTACTCTGATAGGCAGCAGGTCTCTGAGGACCCCAGCAGAGCACTGCTAACCTGAAATCCTTTTAATTGAAATAATAGAGCATGGAGCTGGATACTATGCATGTAGAATTTTGCTCTGTAATTTTGCTTTTTGCCGTTATTCACCTTTAGCACATAGGCTGTGTTTGTCTTTACTAAATCTGGTCCTCTAACCACACTTAGAGGGGAGCACCTAGCTCTGTCCATTTTTTGTGTGCCAAGTCTGAAGAGAAGTGTCTGCTTACATGTAGGCTCTACTAACAGTGATGTGTGTTTTCTGGAAAAAGTAGAATTGGAAAAATCAAATGAAAAATGCTCTAGATCAGTGGTTTCCAACCTTGGTTCCCCTTAAGTTGTAGTCCAAGAAAAAATGCATATTGTATGTTTTTGGACTACAACTCCCAGGAATCCTCACCTGGACATTAGTGGTTTCTGGGAATTTGAGTCCAAGACCATCTGAGGGCCCAAGATTGGGAATCGCTGCCCCAGACAATGTTAACTGCTTTAGTATGTTTGGTTTAAATACTCAAAAATGTTCAAAGCTTTTATGTGAGAATTGTTTTATTGGAATAACTGTAATAATATAAAGGGAGTACCATACACTTTATATTTAATAACAACAATAAAAGACTGCAGTACTTGTGAAAGAACACAATTTTTAGAACACATACCAGAAGAGAGTTATACCTTTTATGACTTACTGTCAACAACTGTAACTTTCTTTCACTGAAGTATAACTGTAGTATCTTCATGTTCACTTATTCATGGTCTGATATACAGTACTTTCCAGTTCCATTTCAAGTTGAGAAAAATCTGATTCGTACCACTAATTTAATATTCTGTTTCACTAAAAGATGGGGTCTATGGGCACAGACATTTTATTTTGTCTACTTACCTGTACTTGCGACTGACTGAGGATCAAGATATTTTGTGAAATAGAAACAAGTTGAGCAGTGTGTTCATTTGTCAGCCTGTTGAGGACAAATACACCATGTATAAATCTGGTCCAGGCTGAGTCAGAAGCCAACTGCATTGTGCACAGAAGAGGTGGTTCTCATATTTATGTTATTTTTCAGTTTCCCGATGGGCAGCTGAATGCTGGGGTTAGTCAGCACTTCTTAGAAGAATGACTTGTAGAAGTTCATATCTCACATTTAGCCCATCTTACATAATTGGTTTCAGTACGACAGCCCAGACAGCTATGGATAAATGTAAATATATATGGTTTGGATTTTTTTCTGAAGAATAATACAGCATCAACCTACATCTCTGACTATTAGCAAGCAAGAACCCAAATTTTCCAGGACTCTTGCTTACATTTTGAATCTACTCACAAGCAGGAACCTCTTCTCTTCAGACTTGGTACTGAAAGTGAAGGACTTGTGGGGTTGAGACTAGATGGTCACCTCTAAGCATATTCACAGCACTGGTTTTAGTAACACCTTAATAGGGCTGCTATGTTCAATAGGTGGAGTGTTACCAATTCATTTCACTTCAGTTATCTTCTTGTTTTAACCTGTTGTATAGCTTCCATTTTCTTTCCATGCATGATAATGCATCTTATGTGTATGCTACCGAGAGGACTTCCGTTACTGGGTTATCTGAAAATGTACTAAACTGTACATTTTACTAAACAGTTTTTTTTTTTTAAAAAAAAACAGACTGTTTTGAGGGACATAACCAAAAGAGTTATGAGGTTCTTATGTGAAAATAAGTAAGTTTTAAGTTTTGTCAAAATAAGAACATATACAAGATGTCTTAACTGGTAATTTCCCAATAGTTTCCCAAACAGTTAAAGTGAATGTGCTATTAAATCCCTCCCTCCAAGGGCTTGAACATATACAGTGGTGCCTCGCTTAACAATTTTAATTGGTTCAAAAAAATTAATCGCTATGGGAAAACATCGCTAAGCGAAACGCGTTTTCCCATAGAGATGCATTGAAAAATGGATAATCTGTTCCAATGGGAACGGATTACCGTCCTTAAGCGAAAATTGCCATAGGAAACATCGCTAGGGAGAAAAAAAATCAACAAAAATTCAAAAAGAGTCAGAACGAAGCGACATTTGGTTAACAAAGGTTTTATTAAGTGCACTAACGATTTCAAGCACTCTAAACCCTTTTTAAACAATTTAACACCTTTTGAAAATAGCGAAAACGGCGCTGTCAAAAACATCGCTAAGCGAAACGGGGCCTAAACTGTCATCGCTAAGCGAAGCAAGGTCCCGAACATCGCTATGCGAAATTCCCCCATTGGAAACATTGCTGAACAGAGCGCAAGACCGCTCCAAAAACCTCATCGCTAAGCGAATACATCGTTAAACGAGGCAATTGCTAAGCGAGGCACCACTGTAGTTACATGTTGTCTCCTGTGATCCACAGTCATTAGGCCGCATATTGTGTGTGTTCTATGCAGTCATGCCAGAACTGACCTATAGTGACTCTAGTAGAGCTTTCAGGGTAAGTGAGATATTTAAGGAGTGGTTTTTCCAGTTCCACTTCCCCAGTGAGTTTCCATAGCTGAGCAGTGATTTGAACCCTGTTCTTCAAAGTCCTACTCTGCCCATTACACCACACTGGGAATCATATATTGCCTCACTTTGACTGCAAAGTGTCTGTCTGGATGCATCTTTGCTCCTTTTCATGTCTCCAAGTTATTTGTTCTGCATGTGGAATTATGTTTTTGCCAAGTTTGTTTATGGTCTTGGCTATGTCTTCTCCTGGAAACTTGGTTTCACAACTTCCTGTGCAGTTGCTGCTTAGAAATTGAACTTCAGAGGCTTCCACGTGACCATTATTTCCTCTAAGAGTTTCACCATTTTCTTATTCAGTCCATAAATCTCCAGAATTATATAAAATGAAATGAAACAATGCAAAAGAAATACACCTAAAGTTAAATTGGTGTGTGTGTGTGTGTGTGTGTGTGTGAGAGAGAGAGAGAGAGAGAGAGAGAGAGAGAGAGAGAGAGAGAGAGAGAGAGAGAGAGAGAGAGAGAGAGAGAGAGAGAGAGAGAGAGAGAGAGAGAGAGAGAGAGAGAGAGAGAGAGAGAGAACAGTGTGCCATTTTTAGGCCCAGTTGACAACAGATGAATTGTGGGTCCTGTAGCTTGATTCTATCACTTCAAACTGTTAGTTGGGGATCATTAGACCGAGCGGGGATTGGACACACAAGACTGATGATTGCAAAAATGTTTGCTTCCTAGTTGTGCCTTGTTTTAACATGATAGTTGAAGTGCAGCCAGTAAAAGGTCTTCTTTTTTAAAAGAAAAAAAAACCCTTCTCTTTCTTACCTATAGGGGCTTGGAGTTTGAAATAACAAGTCTTTCATTGAAATGACTCCAGTGCTGTAGCCACCCAATCTCAGCTTCAGTCTTCTCTTCAGTATGAGAATAATGATAATGACTTGCTTCACATACAGTAGCTATCCTGAGGACTACAGGACCATAAGGTATATGAGGCACCTTTAGCCACAGAGAAACCAAAATGGAAAGCAACAAGTCCCATTTTCTGATTAGTTAGTTTTGCAGAGCAGAAGTGTGTGCTGCTATAGAAATTAGCAAAGATGTCCAACATATTTACACATTTGTGATTTGTTTGGATACTAGCATAACCACTCTTAGTGTCTTACTGCGGAGGGTGGGTGGGGGTGGAATCAATCTTTGTTAATTTGTAAGCATTTAAAAATACTTCTACCAATTTAAATTTTAGTGTTCTTGCAGGCTGAAGGGGGCTGTGGCTGATAGTGTCATACAACAACCAGTTCTGCAATGTGTTTTAATGTTCTGCTGCTGCAAGCAGGGAATCTGAAAATGGGCATCATATCTGCACGTCAAGGGCATCGCTAACAACAGCTTTAAATATTAAATAGCATTCTTTCCTATGATAGCACAGATCAACACGAGAGAAGATACTTTTTGTCAGCATTTTTATAACATTACATAAAATCCCTGCATTATAGGTTGAACGCATATGAGAACTAGCATTTTTAATGTCTACCTAGGGTGATTTGGGGACTTTTCTCTGTCTAGTGTACAAGAAAACAATATAAATAAATAAATAAATAAATAAATAAATAAATAAATAAATAAATAACAATCAGAACAGCTATACTACTGAATGTGCCAATCTCATGCACATAAATATTACTGTAGTACTCAGAGCCCCTCCTTGGCTTCTTTGCATGTAGGAATGTCAGGGACTGATGGCAGCATTCCCACTTAGTTTAAGGCTGTTTCCAGGAAGCTTGAACATCAGTCTTGGCCGTCATGAGTGCATTCTGTGTCTCACCAGTGGTCATAACAGCCTGGACTAGTGGTAAAGGATGCCATGATTGACCTTACCTAATAGGAAAGGGATTAGAGAGGAGTTGGTTGGCAGTGTCTTGGTCTCATAACTTGGGACTAGTTTCTTTCTGCCTTTGCACAGCAGCTGCATTTGTGTGCAAAAGATAAATTCTGAAAGAATTGAAGGGTGGAGGGGAAGCATTTGTTTTTGTTTTCTTTTTAAATCTCCACTGGGCTTTTTCTTCTGGCAATTGGCTAGAAATATGATTCCCCCCCCAAAAAAAAACATGGTTGGGCCAGTTCAGAATGATAAGTGTCCAGGGATACATATTTTAAGCTCTCCATAATTGCATTAGGTAATTTACAGTGCAGGATTTCCTACTATATTATGAAAGGTCAAAATGATATTAACGGCTGTCATTCAAAACTTACGTATGTGTCTTAAAGTGGAGTATCGTTTGAGTAATTTATGGCCAAATAAAGGGTGCCTTGCATCATCTCCTGGGATTTCCTTGTCTCGTGTGCTGCATGATGATGATCTTTCTATATTGTAAACATTCTAAAAAAGGTTTTGCCTTTGACTAAAGAAATCACCTTGGTTGGTATATGCATGAAAAAGTTTTGAAATAAAACATTTTCCATGAAAAATAACAGTACTGTAGTGGAAACATTTCCATTCCATATCCCTTCTAATGTATCCATGTGGTGTGGTGTGGCATGGGCAAAGACGAATAACTATTTGTGGCAGCATTCTGATAGTAAGTGTGCTTCTGCTTGAATTATGAGCAAACCTTTTGCATAAAAGTCCTTGTTGAGCTAACCTGTTGATTTGGGTTACACTGAAGAAGAATACGGAGCATCATGGCATAGAGATCAGTTAGAGTGTTTCTTCTCTAGAAAGCGTAGAAGCAGAAAACTGTAAGTAATTTTGGGGTTTACCACTTTGAAAATTAATTTTAGTGATGTCTTTTGTCAGAAACCTGCAGAATGCACTGAGGAATTGATTGGAAAAATCTACCTGGCTAGAACATGAAGCTAATGCAGAAGTGGCTCACTAGTAACAAAGCAATGTATCTCCACCATTTGGAAATATAGGCAAGAAGAAGCTGTGGAATACCATGGTAACACTAATAACAGAGAAACTGCAAAACCAGACTTTGGAAGACCTGACATGTAAAACATTCAATATTAATCTGGTAAGATTACACCAGTGTAATTGTTTAATATAATCTGCATCATCATAAAGAGTGAGCATGTTAGCAGGAAAAAATGTTCACAAACAAAAAGAATGATAAAAGGTGAAAATATGGGCAAAGGAGGTAGGTATGGTAGTTCTTCTGATGCTTTTTAAGACTTTCTGTGTGTTTACACAAAATTCAGAGTGGTGTGTACTCCCTTTTTAAAAAAATGCCATTGTTCTGCTGCTGCGTCTGTTTGTTTTGTCAGAGCATAACTTCATTAAGTACCAGAGGTCAAATCCCTGCCCCAGTGCAACTTTCCAGTCTTTTAATTAGGAGACAGATTTTAACTTAAAAATGTTAATCAAATTATCAACACATTTAATCTTTGAGTCCTTTAAGAACTTTCTGAAGCAGCAGGATCTAGTTGCATAACTTGTCAACTTTTCTTCTAAGAGCTCAACTATTTTGATAGTTTTTCAAATGGACTACTTAAAAACAATTCACCTCGAAACAAGAAATTCACTGAGCATCTTGTTTCTCCTGCCATTCTTATTTCATCATCTAGTGGTATTATCTTTCTCTCTGACTGGTTTCTTGCTTCTGATTTAAAGAAATGTTCTTCATGGTGTCCATGTATGTACACAAAAGTGCGGTTGTGCCTGTGTGAACACTAGTTTGGAAAGTTCCCGAGGCTCAAAAGTGAAAGTGTCTGCCTATACCATGCAAGCGCGGACCTGCTCTCCTCAGTCCGTTTTTACCCACTGCCACAACAGCACGTGTTGGACTGTTCCAGAGCCGCCTCTTAGTTACTTGTGTCACATTGCAATAAGTCTTGGCTTTAACTATTTCTTTCACCACAGCTCAAGCACTAACTTCTCTGGTGGACAGCAGGAAGTCACCTATGGGTTAAGACTCCATTTCACCAACAGCATCCATCTCATCTCATAGTCACTGACTGACGCACGCATTAGAGGATTGGGTTCACCGTCATCACAGGACAGGACAGGCTCTGGTCCACTCACAAGAGGGCCCACCACATTAACTTGCTTGAGCTTCTTGCCATTTTCATTGCCCTATGGGCATTCAGGAATGTGATCCGTGGCTGCACTGTCCAGATCGCCATGGACAACACTGCTTTTCTGTTCTACGTGAACAAATCCTTGAGCCTCCTGTATTTCTCTGGCCTCCTTTGGGGAGTGGTGCATCACCCATCACATTTCTCTGATAGGAACTTATGTCTTTGGCACAGACAACGAGACAGCAGACTGTCTCAGCCAAATGATGACCCAGATGCATGACACAGTCTACAATCAGCTTGTCCTCTGATGGGGCAAATCCTCAGTGGATGCTTTGCAACTGCCAACAATTCCAAATGCTCCAGATGCTGCTCTGGGGTAGGCACAGGCAGGCACTCCCTAGGGAATGTCTTCTCTGCTGACTGGACCAGTGGCCTACTATACATGTTCCCTTCTTTTCCTCTGATTCAGCTCATGCTCCTCAGTCCTCCATGACAACTTCATCATCATCATCATAAACCCTTGGTGGACTTGCCAAGAATGCCTTACTACCCTGTTCCTCAGTCCTCCATGACAACTTCATCATCACCATAAACCCTTGGTGGACCTGCCAAGAATGGCTTACTACCCTGTACCTCTCTGCCTCTGACAGGATCTGGCTGCCCCTGCACCACAGTCTCCTCTTTCACCACAAGGGAACGGTCCTCCACACTAACCTGAAGCTCACAGCCTGGAGGATATTGCCCTCCTTGCTAACATCCTAAGACAGCCCTGGTGACCATCCACAGACTGCTTCTATAGCTACAAGCGAAAGAAGTTCCAGCTCTACACATCATCATGTGATCTGCTGGACTCTCCAGCTGCCCTATCTACTGTCCTGGCCTTTCTCCTGTATCTCAAGCAACAGGGCTTTTCCATCAATCTTGCAACTATTGGTCACTCTTCCTCCCACTTCTCCACACACCAGACAATGAAGAGATTTATGAAAGGTCTTCAAAACACCTACCCTGACATACGGCCCCAATAAGACCCTTGGTCTCTCTCACTGGTTTTGTCTCAACAGACACCCTTTCAGGCCACTGGTGATGACAGACCTCTGTCTCCTGACCTTTAAAACAGCTCTTTTGGTGGCCCTCGCATCTGCTTGCTGCGCAGCAGAACTGACAGTCCTCTGCTGTGACCTTCCATACCTGATTTTCTCCCACGACAGGGTCACCTTTCATACAGACGTAACTTTTCTGCCTGTGGTAGCCTCCCATTTCCATATGTCACAACCTTTCAGCCTACTTACCTTTTATCCTTCACTGCAAAATGACCTCGAATGATCACTTTACTCTCTGGGTGTCAGGAGGGCCTTGTCATTTTATCTGGACAGAACAAAGGACTTTAGGCAAACAGACAGGCATTTTGTCTGTTACCAGGGTCCAAGAAAGGGACACCCAGTATCACCTCAGACGTATCTCTCACCAGCTGGCCAACAAGCTACTGCCTAGAACTCTCTGTAATCATTCCACCAGGGAGTTTCCTCTTCTGCTGAGTTCTTGCATGGCATAGACATACAGGACATTTGCCAAGCAGCTACAAGGTCATGAACTTTGGCCCTTGTCACTTATTATAGATTAGATCTCAGAGCTCCGGGAGATGTTTCCTTTGGCCAGGCTGTTGTATCCTCTGTTTTGGCTTAACACCCACTTCCAAAACTTAGCTTGCCAACTTCCCCTTTTGTGTGCATACATGGACACCACATAGAAGAAGATATGGTTACCATGACTGTCATTCTTCAAGTAATCCATGTCTTCACGCAACCTGCCCACCTCAATTCTTGTTTCTCCCTCTGTCCTGCAGCAGGCAACTGGGACTGAAGAGAGCGGGGGCCGCACTTGTGTAGTATAGGCAAAGATGCTTTGGGGGTTCTGGAACTTTCCAAACTGGTTGCTTGCGCAGGCACACACCCCCTTTTGTGTGTGTGCACGTGCGTGTGTACATGGATCACCACATGAAGAATGATAGTTACAGTGAATAACCATATATTTTCCTATCAAGAGTTACTGCTAAAAGTCTGGGCTTGCCTTTCACCAGTTTCTGTTCTTTTTTCTCTTTTTAAAAATCTTAATTGGGTAATATTTTATACTGTTTTAAAGGACAGTCTCTTGACTCTTCAGGTAATAATCATGTGCTGTCAAGTCAGTGCTGACTTGTGGCAATCCTTTTCAGGGTCTTCTAGGTATAGAGTACTCAGCAGGGGCTTCCCTTCTTCCTGGCACTGCAGCTTGCCCGAGGCCACCCAGGCCGGCTCTTCTGGGATGCATAATGAACTCCCAGACTGGTTCACAGCCGGATACCTAACTCTCTTAACTATCCAGCCAGCTCCTGTTCAGGTGCTTTTATATTAATGTCCTGTTACATCTTAAGGAAGGGACGTGGTGGCGCTGTGGGTTAAACTGCAAAAGCCTCTGTGCTGCAAGGTCAGAAGACCTGCAGTCATAAGATTGAATCCACATGACGGAGTGAGCTCCTGTTGCTTGTCCCAGGTCCTGCCAGCCTAGCAGTTCGAAGGCATGCAAATGCAAGTAGATAAATAGGACCACCATGGTGGGAAGGTAACGGTGTTCTGTGTCCAGTCGCGCTGGCCACGTGACCACGGAAGATTGTCTTTAGACAAACGCTAGCTCAGTGGGTTGGAAATGGGGATGAGCACCGCCCCCTAGAGTCGGACACGACTGGACAAATTGTCAAGGAGAACCTTTACATTTACCTTACATCTTAAGGACTGGAGGATGCTAACAATAGCTATGTATGTGTACTTGTATGCACACACAGGCACATATACTTGACAATAGAACAGAAGAAGCTATTGAAATTTCCATCCTCTACTTTCTGACTTTACTTTGAGCCCTAAAGGCCAGTCTGGACAAGGTTGGTGCTGCTTAAATAAACTTACATTTGTATCTTGAGTGGATCAATGGCAGTATTAATCTTCCCCTTTTTGCAGTATTCATCTGAGAAGCAGAACAAAAGTTGTAGACAATTCCCATTTGAAGTTAATGGTAAGTTTCTCAGGTGTCTTTATAGTTTTGTTCAGTGTTCTAAACTTAATGAAAACACAGTTGGCTAAGTTACACAAGCTACTGCTTATTGTAGACCTGTTTGGGGAGGTTATTGGAATAGGAAGCTTTGCTATGTATGCTTTGCATTAGAAATGCTGTTGCATATTGTGATGTAGGATAACTTTATTTTCGGGAAAATGTATTTCTTTCATCTGCTAGGATCCAAAGACTCTGCCTAAAATAGCATTTTTGTGTTTCCTTTTTTGGGAGGCACTAGAAAGATTAAACATACAATACTGTTTGATATGGAACCAGTATCTGCAAATGGTGCAATAATGTAAATAAATATTATACAGATTACAAATTTCTATTGGATTGTTTATGCTGCAGTAAGTGCAGTGGTATGAAGTGGAACAGCAAGTCAGCTCCAGTATCTGTTATCATGTGCTAAGTTCATTTATTTTATTTAAAATATTTATATGCTACCTTTCTCCTAGAGGAGCCAAGGTGGATTACAGTATTAAAAGCAACAAAGTTAAAAACCATATAATAAATTATTACAATATTAAAACAGCATTAAAAATATAGTGCAGCTCATAACAAGAACAAAAGTAAAAACACAAGTAAAACACAGAATAAAACAATCCCTTTAAAAAATCCCTATGGTTAACCAGTCATTTAAAGAAAAGCCTGCCTGAAGAGAAAGATCTTTGCTTTTGGAAGGACAGCAGAAATGGGGCCAACCTGCCCTCTCATGGGAGGGAGTTCCAAAGTGGGAGCCGCAACAGAGAAGGCCCTGTCCTACGTCTCTACCAAATGCACCCATGGGATGGTGGAAACAAGAGAAAGGCCTCTCCTGGTTATCTTAATACCTGGGCAGGCTCATAAAGGAGTACTTTAGATAGCTAGGACCCAAACCATCTAGGGATTTATAGGTTAGAAACAGCACTTTGTATTCTGCCCAGAAGCAGATTGGTAGCTATGGAGCTACTGTAACAGGGGAGTTATATGTTCTCTGTAACCAGCCCCATTTAACAACCTGGCTGCGGCATTTTGGACCTGCTGAAGTTTCTGAATTCTCGCCAAAGGCATCCCCACACAGAGCACATTACAGTAATCTAACCAACATGTAACTAAGGCATGTGTCACCATGGTCAGATCAGATCTTTCAAGGAATGGGTGCAGCTGACATACTGGTTTTAACTATATGAAAGCACTTCTGGCCACCAATGAAACCTAGCCATCCAGGCTCAGAGATGGATCCAGAAGCATCCACAAGTTGCACAACTCAAGCAACAAGGAATGCAACTGGCAGCTTCTTAACTAGCAGTGGTTCACTGCTATGATTTATCTCATTGCACTTTCAATAGTCAATGGCATTCTGGCCTACAGTTTTGGTTTATCCATTCCCATTAAGTGAGATATAGGCCAAGTTAGAGTTAACACAGCAGATTTCCGTGTTTAATATATCTTTGAGTATATAGGTGTATTGGGAAATAAACATTTCAGAGTAAACACTGGAGAGCCGATGTAGAATAGTGATCAGAATGCTGGATTAGAACCTTGGAGATCCAGGTCATTGTCTCTCAGCCTGATCTCCTTCACAGGATTGCTTTGAGGTTGAAGTGAACAGGAGGAGAGACACGTGAGTCTAAGTATAAATAAAATATAAATAAATAAAATCTCTGGCTTGCTAATACTACTATACAAATCCAGACATTGCAGGTTACAGAAATTAGCAGGCATCATCAAACCTATAATGTAGATGTGGGTGTTTTTTCCCCTTTATTTCCAGCTTGATCCAACTTTTAGCACCCAGTGGGACAGTTGGCACATGCCACAACAAGAGAAGAAGCTGTATCATCTCATCATGAATTGTTAGACTGATTATATGCTCAGGGAAGGTCCGGGCAAAGGAATTTTCACAGGGCCCTAGGTATAGCCATAGGGTTCTCCAGTGGTGTGCACTGAGTGGAGATCCTATTCAAATAAATTGTCATTTGGCAGTCTCCCTCTATCACTCTGCTTCTGGTGTCTTATAGTGTTGTTATCACTCTTAAGTTTTTACAAGTACTTTTTGTACCACCATGTTGCTGAAAATAGACACCATGGTGAGGAGTGGTGTAATGTAGCCCTAGGAGGGTGTGCAAGGGAAGAAAGCCATGACCACAACAAGATTTTTTCTTCTGTTTAGGAGGTGAGTGCCCACTTAATATAGGAGGAGCAGGGAATTAATATGAAACAGTAGGTTTTCAACTTGGTTTGTGAAACACTCCCTTAAAGCTTTATTAGCATTGTTTCAAGAAGAAAATTGGTGTTTGGTGCCTCTTTACGCTCCCCACATCCTTGGAGTAAAGTTCATAATGCCATTTGCTAACTTGACAGAAATCTTTTCTTTTTCTCTTTTCCATTGATATTTCCTCTCAGCAGAAGAGGGCCCTTGGAAATCTTCACAGATTGAAGATAGTCAAGTCAGAACTGAACCAAGTAAAAATTTAGTTTGTTCTTCGTCATTTTGCCCATTTAGTTCAAGTGCATCTAGCATAGGTTTACATTGGCAACACAGATCTCCAGCCCAATCCCTGGTTTCAGGATGGATAAGTGAACTCAATCTTAATGAGAACTCCAGACAGCCATTGACACCACCTACCAAACGACATTGTAGATCACTCTCTGAACCAGATGAGTTGGTCCGATGCCGATCACCATGGAAACCTGGTAGTTCAAAGATCTGGACTCCTGTGTCTAAGAGGCGATGCAATAGTGGAGGCAGTACTACTTTGCAGAGATGCAATAGCCATGGAAGCACTGCCTTGAAGCAAAGCACAAGCATCATTCTGCCCCACAGCAGACAATCATTCAATAATGTGTTCCAAGTCACCAGCTTCAGCACTTCACCAGTACCCAGACCATCATCTGCAAGTAGTGGTTTTGTAGACAGTAGTGAAGGAAGCTCGAGTTCAAGTTTTAATTGGAATTCTGGAAAACCTTATGATTTTAACCCAAGACGTCGCCTTTCCCTATCACAGGAACATATTACTGAAACAGGAAAGAACTTATCCTCAGCCAGCAGCACTCCCACCTCCACACCAGAGCTCACTCGGAATCAGGGCTTGTTAAGGTGTCGCTCACAACCTTGTGTCCTGAATGAAAAGAAAAGCCGACTTAAGCGTAGACGAGAAGAGGATGTCCAATGGAATCGCCCTTCATTAGACTTTTTAAAAATGACTCGGGTGAGATTATCTGTCTCTGTCTGTCTGCATGATATTAGATCTACTACGTACAAACTACTAAGGCAGTCCTTTCGAGATACTAGTTGAGTTAAAAGTTTGAGAAACCACTGCTGCATTACACTCTAAGTTATGTGCTGGAATAGCTGATTCCGCAACCTGGTGCATAGATGAAAAATGTAGGATTTGTCTCTGAAACATTCAGTTATCTTTTGTAGCAGATAATGTACTAAAAACATACATTTTGCTCTCTTTAGTTAGCCGGAGATACAGTCATTGTAAACATCTTTGATTGTTATTTTTATTGTATTCTATTTATATTTTTTGTGAAGTATAGAGTAGAATGCTGAAAAACAAAGTTCTTCAGTGAATTGATTTGTGATATTGCACATAGGCATTGCTGTGCTTATTTTGATTTTTTAAAAATTGATTCTTTTAATCTTAATTATAAATAGGGTTCAAATATGCTCCCAGTTAAAAATTCAAATCTCAGTGACTATATTCTTCTGGGAGTTACAACTTTTGCTGGATGACTTGCCATTGGGGTAGACCCAGTGTCATTGTGCAGCATACTAAAATAAAATAAAATGTTGGGACACCTTCAGTTTTTGAAATGCTCGACTTCATTAGATTGGCTGAGCCCCTTTAACAAGTGTGTCCGCCCCCCCTCCACTTGCTGCACAGTTCTGAGAGGAATGTCTAATGCCTGTGCCAAATGATTCTCTCTGTGCTACTGCTATCCACACCTCTCTGCAGGTCCACTCTGAAACTGCTTATTCACCATCCCCAGTATGTTTAGAACCTGATACTTGGGGTACATTTTGACACAATTATGAGTTAGTTCTTTCTTTTTCGTGGCCTCTGTGAATGCACACATATGGGTATTGTCTGCGCCTGCGCTGACTCACTCGGAAGATTCTAGAGCTAAAAGTAACAATTTTATGGTGTGATCCTCCACGAGGTATATGCTCCTCCCACCCACCATCTTCTCCAGTTCCTTTTTTCCGCCGAGCTGAACAGTTCTCAGGAGAAATTGAGCGCTTCGCTATTTGCCTTTTGGCTATTTTTCTAGGCTCCTTTGAGCTTTTGTTTGTTTATCTTTACTTTAAATTACCTACTTAGTGATAATCCGCGTCTCTTGTTTACCTAATCAGCCTCCCGCAATTACCTACTTAGTGATCCTCCGCATCTCTTGTTTGCCTAATCAGCTTCCCGCGGTCCTTTTATTCCCTTTTTCCCCTTCCCCCCCCTTCCCTAGTTCTTTGCATATGGCCTCACCGTCTCCATTTAAAAGGTGTACGACCTGTGCGAATAAAATCGCACTTTCGGACGGTCATAACCAGTGCCTTTTTTGTTTGGGTGAGGAACATCCTACCCATTCGTGTCCTGCTTGTAAAAATTTAACCAAGCCAGCACTTAAACAGAGGCTCCAAAGACTTCGGTCTTACCTTTGGCAAACAGCCATGAATCCTCTTACTTCGTCTTCAGAAGCGGCTAGATCTCCTGCCCTTTCAGCCGATAGACTTCCAGCGGGCCAGTCTACTTCTGACTCTACCTCTGTGCTACCAGCTAAGGACACTG